ATTTGTTTATTAATATTCTATCTTTTTAAACTTTCAGTTCTTCCCTAATGGCAATGCCTTTGCCACTGGCTCTGATGATGCCACCTGCAGGCTGTTTGATCTGCGTGCTGATCAGGAATTAATGATCTACTCTCATGACAACATCATATGTGGCATCACTTCTGTTGCATTCTCAAAGAGTGGCCGTCTTCTTCTGGCCGGCTATGATGACTTCAACTGTAATGTGTGGGACACACTAAAAGCCGACCGTGCTGGTGGGTATCTGATGTGAAATACTTGTGATCCTGGATAATTAGATGTACAAAATAGGTTCTTGATGGTTGCTGTTTTGTATACTAACTAAAACTTTGTACTTTTCAAGGTGTGCTGGCTGGACATGACAACCGTGTAAGCTGCCTTGGAGTCACTGATGATGGCATGGCAGTTGCAACGGGATCCTGGGACAGTTTTCTGAAGATCTGGAATTGAAGCCTGAAGGTTTCTTTTTTTTTTTTTAAATTATTACCTACATTTTTACCTTAGGCTATTCCCTGTAAAGTCTTAGTTCTACACCTGTAGTTGCAAATGTTTGTTGAAGCCTCATGTTCTGCAAGGCTGAAGTTAAAACTGAAATGGTTTTGCACCACTTCCGTGCCCTTAGCGGTTTCAGGAAGTTTTTGGTTTAATGAAGTCTCTCTCTCTCTCTCTCTCTCTCTCCCTCTCTTTCTCTCTCTCTCTCTCTCTCTTTTTGTGTCATTTGCTGGGTTTTATTCTTGAGAAATATGTTAGCTTGTATCTACATCCTCTTTTGACTTGTGTGATGAAAAACATTCCTGCCCCTACAGTCTCAATAATGTTAGAGTATAATTTTGTATCAGGCTTGCTGTGTAAAGAAACCAACCCAATGGTTCATCTTCTCCACTAAACAATTAGTGCACCTCAAATAAAAAAAGAAACTTAAATCAGTACAAATGTAAGATGAATAAAATATACTTTAAGTCAACCAATGGTATGAAATATTCCAATTCAAAAATATGTTTAAGAATTCCACAGCTTTCAAATATAATATTAATACGATTTTCAACTGCAGAAGATTCTAAGAAAAAAACAAGATTCTGAAAAGGCCAAAAGGTGTCTCTGCAAAAAGCTAAACTGTAGATCAGGTAAGATTAGTTGGATTCTTAATTTCATGTGTCTTTGTTTCCTAGATGTTCATTTAACTCCAAAGTTGACTGGAAGACCATTACAACTTCAGAATGTTCACAGCATCTTCTCAACACTGTTTAAACTGACTTGGACACCACAAAAACGAAGGGAAACCAATGCCTTTCCTACACAAAGAAGAGCACAATTGTTTATCACCTAGTTAAGAAAGGATCTCCTGTGGTATCAAATCAGAAACTTGTGCATTCCTTCTTGGACCATTTTATGTTACCTTGAAAAAAAACAACAACAACAACACTATCATCCCATGCAAATGTGTGCGTCTCGAAAGCAAATGTTGGAGTGTAATTGTACAAATTATTTAACTTTTTTTTTTTTAAGAATTCTATTCTGATGGTTTGTTATTCTCGATGGCTTTTCTTTGTCATATTTCTTTAGTGGTTTTAGATATGTTTGAATTACTGCTTGTCTTTCTAATCCAGTTAAATCATATAAGACAGATGACCGAAAACACGCAGCAAGTAAAAGCTTGGATCATATAACACGAGCAGCTTTCCAAAATTTCCATGATGTATTTAAATACTAGCTGTCTTTTTTTTTTTTTCATCACAGCCTTTTGCACATGAAGAAGCTTCGCCTTTCAACTAATACTATGTTAAACGAACCAAGCACATGCTCTAAGTTATGAATGCTCATTCCAGTACAAAAGGAGTTATAACGAGTAACTTATACAGTTAACCCCCTAATTCTTGTACATGCCTTTAAAGCTGGGTGGGAAGGGGTGGGGTAGCAAAGTAGGTGCTGAGATAATTGGGGCATGGCTGGATTTTATTACCGTATATGGATGAGGGGTGGGGGTGGGGGGTTGTGTTTAGTATCCACTTTGAGTGAAACACCTCACCTGACTAAATAGACACTTCCTTTGCTTGGGACTGCAGTTGCAACTCTGTGAATGAAATGTACAAATCAATGTCTGAAAATAATGGTCTGATGTTTTAAGTTAAGACATTTAATTTTGTCTGCCATGAGTTAATTTAGATGTGCATGCTGTAGACTTGCTTTCAATGGTGCAAAATTTCTAGTTTTTTTTTTTTTGTTAGTTTCTTAAAGGAGAGTAACCTAATGATTGAACTTAATAGAAGCCATTTTTTTGGCTCCAACTCTGCATACATCATGTTCTAATTACTGGTAAAGCTATGCACCAGAGTGAGCAAGAATGGAGAAGACTAAATATTGATTGCAAACTTAGTGTAAATGATGCTTACCAGTTCTATTGATGCCAATTTTTGTAATTATTATAACAATCATTGTGAAATTATATCCTTGACAAGTCCTATTCTCTCCTTCAAATCTCCACACTCAATGGAACAACAATGTCCTCACAAACTGTCCATACTAAACTTTTGTACATTTTTTCTTGGTCTTAAATTGAAAATCCGAGCATCTGAATGACAACATTTCACTGTATACAGAAGCACTTTTGTTAAAGTTGTGACATATTTTCACTTTTCCTTTTTTTTTCTGCAATGATGTACAATAAATGTGATGTATTCGTGTGTGGCCACAAGTGAAAATGCAATTCAACTGAGACAGAATCCCTTTTCTCTTTCCATTAATATTATAGAGCTCTGCACCCTTATGTACCTTTTCACTTTTTGTATTTCATTTCAGTCTGTTGGTGTAACACGGTGAGCTGGATGCAAGATAGATACTGTACTAAATTGTACTGTTATTGATTGAAAATGTAATAAAAAAGCTGTTTGAGATCTCTTTGTTGAGTTGAGTTTGAAACAAATGTTTAATCAATGCTTTAAAAGGGAGTTATTTAGCCAGTGCTTTAGGATCAGTAAGGCTAGTTGTTTTGGAAAGATGGATTTTTACTTGTTCAGGGAGAGCAGGCAACAAAGTTAGGCTAAAAACAGTTGATATTATTTGCAGAGCCAATGGGATGGCTTCTGTAATCTATAGACTGAACTACTTTTCATTAAAATCTTAAGTATGTTACTCTTCCAGCCAGAACAAAACCTACCAAACGTTACTAGCAACACATTTGGTAATAGAGTACAGTTTGCTAATATTGCTCCCTACCTTTGCATACATTCGACTTATTCCTATCCCTAAACCAAAGATGAATAAATTAGTCTGGCACTAAACATTTTAACACCCTAGGCAGGAAACTTCCTGTCTCTAATGAAGGCATAAAAGCCCAAAGAAATTTGGAAAAAAAAAATATCTGCCTTTGCAACAGATGTAATGAATTTGATACTTAAACATCAGGGTAGCCATCATTAACCACAAACCAGGTAAACTGAAAAATACTCTAGATTAAAAAAAAAATGGAACAGGTTCATCTACAACCAAAAATTGTGACTCAAATTATTGGCTGGACATTAAATAAACTGACCGCCACAGTCTGTCTAATCTCTTGTACTTCACATTTCTATTTTCTAAAAATTGTACAAGTAGATGACCAACCAATTAATCTTGTGCATTGATATGAGTGACCAAGGTTTTATAATTTTCGAATGAATTGGTTATTGGTAATGACAGATTGCTCAGATCCATTGTTTATTTTATAATAAAACCAGTTATGTCAGTCAGCCCTGCACTTCATCAAAACCCCTTACAACACAACACAAAAGGAAAATCAATCTGACCAAGGATTTGATATCCTGTCAAACTACCTTTTTGAAGTATTTAATTTTAACATTGACTAGTACCTGACAATTGCACAGTCCAGTTACTGTATCAAACAGTCATGCACACTAGTGCTGTACAACTTGACACACTCTGACATAAGTTATTGTGTAACCTCCTGGTCACAAGCAGCACATGCAACCATCATGTCTCTGATGATAATATACAACAAAGCCATTCAAATTTTAGACAAGATGCAAATAAGGTGTGATGACCAATACATCATTGTCATTTTAAAAAAAAAAGTTAAAAGTGTTATGTTTTGGTAATTGTATTAAATTGTCTACGCTTAACCTCATCCATTAATGTTTAAAAGCTACTCGGGTTCTCTGTGAGCTGGTGGTAAACTACATTGTCAGGCTCTGTAACACGAGGAGCATCTAATGGAGACTCGCAGAAAAATAACCTTTTCTGTTCAGGGGATCAACATGTGGAAAGCTTTTACCTGCAGAGTTCAAACTGGTACCAGACTGGAGTCATTTTAATTTAAACTCAAACTGCAACATTAAGAGTCTTGCCGTCATGCATGATCTTCCTCTTCCTGTTTTACTTTGTTATATTATATCATTTACTGTTCTGTATTTTGTGGTTGTTTGGTTCTGTTTTTAAAATGTTAAGTTTTATGTATATTAAAGGCCTAACCTAGAAATGCTGTTGTGTGTGACATCAGTTCACTGGCTCCATGTGTCCCTCTAAAAATAAACATAAAATACATAAATAACGGAATGAAAATTAAATGGAGGTTAATCATTATGACCTAGACTCCTAACTCCTAAAGGATAAAGGCTCAATTTAATAGATAATTATTTGACTAATATATTCTTATAATAATAACTACACTACGGCCATTACGTGCGCTCATCTCGGTACGTACCAACGTAAAATCTAGCGAACGGAAGCTGCATTCGCGGCGTAGCATTCTCAGTTGATGGAGGGGGGGGCGAAATAATATCTTCAAAAAAACGATACATAATACTTTGTTTTAGATCGTATTTAAAAAAGAAAGTAAACATATTCTATGACAAGTGAGTTAGTTTTGGATCATGATGCGTACGGATTATCCAATTAGTGTAAAATATCAACGACTCTCTCCCGACGAATTAACCCTCACGCAGAGAAATGGTACAACCCATTGACGTACTTCCTTTATCGCTGAGATAATGCCATTTTGGTAGGCCGTACTTGGTGGTTTCATTTTTCGCCTCGTGGAAGAAAAAAAAAAAAAAAAGACTTTCCACGCTGTATTAGATAATTTTAATTTGGGATGAGACGAGCGCTCGGTTGAAGTTGTTATCAATTAATCGGCTAGCACGCGATTGAGGAAGTCGTTTTGATTGGATTAGTGAGCGTGGGGGGGGGACGTACGCATTTGTCATTACGCGGCGCAGTTGAAGAGTCGCAGCGAACAAAGGAAGGCTGAGGTCGATACACTCTGTCCGCGCTGTCGGGGGGAAATATCATTTTAGTTCTTTAATGTTAACCTTGCTTAACGACGTTGTATTATAAGTTGACGTAAGACGTGTTTTGAGTAGATTCAACAAATAATTGGCTGCACTCGTTTAGTTGTTAGCATCATCGGCTAAGAGGACAATCAGCGAGCTGACGGCGTTCAATTGAAACGAGCTTTGTTTTTTTTAAAAGAATGGCGGAAGTTTATATTAGAGTGGCGGAGGAGGAAAACGAGGAGCCCATGGAGATCCCGTCCGAGGACGACGGCACTGTTCTGCTTTCAACCGTGGCAGCTCAGTTTCCAGGGGCGTGTGGCCTGCGATTCAGGAGCCCCGTGTCCCAGTGCATGCGAGGAGTGCGTCTCGTGGAAGGGATCCTGCACGCGCCCGAAAACGGATGGGGCAATGTGGTGTATGTGGTGAACTATCCAAAAGGTGAGGCCTTTGTCATCGTCTTCAAAAAAACAAAACACTTAGTCCAAACAGGTGGCCATACGTATGTTATTAATAATTCATGATGTAGCTTTTAGCCTTCTGAAAATAGACCAGAATGACGTGACGTGTTTTGTTTACACCCACAATGTGCTTTGAGAGCTGAAACAGTCTTTTTTTGTAGACATCAAGCAAAGAGGGATAAATATTATGATTTGATTATAAGGTCATTAGTTTACTTTTGGAAAATCTTGCTGATGATATAGTTTGATTTTGATAAGAGCCCTGCCACAGAATGCACGTTTCTTGGTTGGACTGTATTTTAATATTTAAGTTATAAACGGGCTTTTAAAATGATTTTTTGACTTCAGTGGCTTAAACATTGTTTGTTCTTGATGAATGCAGAGGCTTACCTGCATTATACATATGAATATGCATAGGTTACAATAGTAAATAAAACCCTCAAGCACAATTTGATACACATATCGAACAGTTTCTAAACTGACTTTAAAGAATTGTCACCTTTTTTTAAGGGGTTTAAAAACTTAAATATGTTTTGTTGAAGTGATAAAGAAGGAAAGAGTGGTTTACATTGAATGGACATGCATAATTGTGATTAAACTCAACCTTTAGTTTGGACAACCACATAATCCTGAAAATGCCAAGATACAAAAGTAGTATGTTGTCACCCATCTACCACAAGTTTAACTAAAGGTATTGTATTTGTAGAGAATGTTAAATTGCACTCATGCAACATATGGAAATGGTAATGAAAACTGTGTCCATCAATAGTCTTAACAAAAATAAATGTGTACAAGCAGAACAGTTCAAATATTGTCCTTTATTTGCTCTTAGGCAGGTCTGATGTTCATGGGAACTTTTCAAAGTCATTAAAAAAAATCTTGGAAACTAATATTTTGGCAGCCTGTCTGGTTCAAATAAATCTAACTGAAATTTCTGTCTCTGTGTTGATCTAATTGTAGACAACAAAAGAAAAATGGAGGAAATTGATGCCTCCTCTGCTGTGAAAATGAAGAGAGGGGACATGAAGACGTCTGATCTGATCGTCCTGGGTCTTCCTTGGAAAACATCTGAGCAGGACCTTAAAGACTACTTTAGCACATTTGGAGAAGTCATTATGGTTCAGGTATAACATTAGCAACACTAGTTACATGTATATTGGTCTGGATTGTTTGTGGTGACCATGGATCGTCATTGCTAGATATTTGTTTCTCTGTCAGGTGAAACGAGATGCGAAGACTGGGAACTCTAAAGGATTTGGCTTTGTAAGGTTCACTGAGTATGAGTCTCAAGAAAAGGTGATCTCTCAGCGCCATATGATTGACGGAAGATGGTGTGACTGCAAGCTCCCTAATTCAAAGGTGACTATGGTAATGCCCATGCATAATCCCACACTTTACGGGGTTAACTTTTTGTTGAAGGGCACAAAAACCTGTAGTATTAATGTTTCCCCCTTTCCGTTTACAGCAAGGTCCAGATGAGCCATTAAGGAGCCGTAAAGTGTTTGTTGGCCGTTGCACAGAAGACATGACCACAGATGATCTAAGGCAGTTCTTTATGCAGTATGGAGAAGTCACAGATGTCTTCATCCCCAAGCCATTCCGTGCTTTTGCCTTTGTCACATTTGCAGATGATCAGGTATGAAGTTAAATCTGTAGAATGGCCTCTTTTGTAGTGGTGTCACTGCTCAGATGACCTGATTCCCATCTTCTTCTTTTTTTCCTCACAGGTTGCCCAGTCTCTCTGTGGAGAGGACCTAATAATCAAAGGCGTCAGCGTTCATATCTCAAATGCTGAGCCCAAACATGGCAATAGGCAGTTTGACCGCACCACACGTTTTGGGAATGGCTTTGGGGCTCAAGCATTTGGTAGCAGTCGTAGCGGGTTAGGAGGGAGCAGCACTAACAGTAGTCTGGCTAACTTCGGTTCCTTCAGTCTGAACCCCGCCATGATGGCTGCGGCTCAGGCTGCACTTCAGAGTAGTTGGGGGATGATGGGAATGCTGGCTAGCCAGCAGCAGACGTCTACCTCAGGCAGTACCTCAAGTGGAACAAGCTCAAGCAGGGACCCAAGTCAGTCTTTCAGTGCAGGAAACAGCAACTATGGCACTAACTCAGCAAGCCTGGGCTGGGGAGCAGGGTCAAACTCTGCAACCAGTGGTAGTGGGTTTAGCTCAGGTTTTGGGTCCAGTATGGAGTCAAAGTCGTCTGGGTGGGGTATGTAAGTTAAATGTTTGTATGGTAAGTATTGTGAAAAAGCCGAGTCTTTTCAAAATTTATTTCTGGTGTTGATGCGTATCTGAAAACTTAACACTTTTATGGAAGATGTTTTGTACATTTGGAAAAAAAAACTGCTAAAGATTTAATTTAGAAAGTGTCGAAGTGAGTTGTTTACCAGGATGTCTGACTAAAGTGCTATTTTTGATGTTTCATTTGTTTGTATCCATTTCAACTGGATTCTCTAATGCATGTATTGTGAAATGTGTTATAGCCATTTTGAAAATGCATGAATGTTTGTGGTTCACCATTATCCAGCTTTGTCGTTGACCTAAAATGCAATCTTGCATTGAGAAGAATCTGGTTGAAAACTTAATGTTTTAAGTGCAACTTAATTTGCAGTCAAGTTCTGTGGAAAGCCTTCATTGAAATCTCTTCTGCAGTTCACCTCTCTTCAATTTTCCTGTGAGGAAGCTCCTCTTTGGCAGCATTCTTGGGGTGATATCGGTATCATTCTCCCTCTTCCCACCTGTAAATGCAATGCCATCAAAGAACGGCTTCACTACGCATGTTCTAAGAGACGGTGGGTGTTTTCACTTTTATCCACTTTTAAATGGAAAGAACAGCGCAACTGACATTTTAAGAACTGATGAGTGCGATTGAGGATGGCTTGTGGCGAAGAGTGAAGCGATGAGTGAGCGAACGGAGAGAGACGCGTGAAACGGACTGGTTGTGCGGTGAAAGGGCCCAATTTGACTGCTTTCTTTGAGTGTGTGAGTGGAAGCTGCAGATGCTACGAGCGCCTCCCCTAACATGGACATTCTTTAATTAGTACTTCAGGATTTTTTTTTTTAATCTTTGCAAGTTTTTCCTTACTCTTAAGTATGTTGATCAATTGCAGAAATATCAAAATGTAGTGGAATGTTGTGATGAATATTTGTATTGCTTATATTACCTGATTTGAATGCTGTATGGTGTGTGCTTTCATGTTTTTGAACTGATCTGTAAGTGTGTTCTTGATGTGGATGACACCTGCTGAAGACTCTGGGGGACGCGAGTGATAGTGTGAGAACGTGGAGGTGTGTGTCCAATGGTTCCCAGTAGCTCTTGTTGTTTGTGGGGTGTTTATAAAACATGTCAAATGAAGGGAGTTCTCTAATAAAGTTCATTTGAATAGATGCTTAGTTGATATTACTTGAGTCTACTTGTCAAATAAAAAAACATCTAATTCGATTCACATATTTAGGGACCTTGGGCTCTGCTGGTCGAGGTCTCCGTTTGAACCCTGACTGAAGTCTGTTCTGAAGGACGAAGACGGAAGTTCCAACACTTTCAGTGTGTGGCCTTCTCATACATGACATGGGGTAGTACCTGTCTTTTTGCTGCTTTCAATGGCTTTTAGAGTAAATTATCCCTTTCTGATTATTCACACCTAGTTTTAGATTTGTCTTTATTTGGATCTTAAAAAGATGAGCTCTCAATGTGGAATCAGATCTCCTAGCCATGTTTTGTGTATGGCCTAACACCCAGTGGCCACTTGATTCAGTACACCTGTACAATCTATTGCAAATACTTAAGTTTCCCCGTGGGTGATACGTAACGGCCAGCATCTGTGCTGTGTGCCCTATGAGTTAAATCTGCAGAAGACCTCAGATCTTCATTAAAAAAATAACTGTTAACATATGATTTTGTATTTAGCAGTTTTGATGATAAACTTAGATGTCTGCTCCTGTGTGCACTGCTTTGTCTTTCAAAAACCAAATCTATTCAGGTGAAGTACCATGTTGACCATTGAAATAGTGTCTAATAATACATTTGACTTAATGGCAGGTGTCATAAATTGTACAGGTGTCCCTAACAAAGTGATCAGTGGGTGTACTTGTGGTAAGTGCTAAAACATTTTATCAGTTTTTGAACCTTGGCAGGTGTATCATTAGTTGTTCAGACTGTGGTCAGCGCCTCTTTGACAGCTTTTTAAAATATCAAATAAAAATATTCAAATACAATATTCTGGTCTTCATTTTTCTAGTGTGTTGAACGTTATTTGACATTGGATCAGCAGGTCTCAGTAAATACCAAGTTGATGATTTGCTTTAAATGTGATCTAAAACAAGATTTCAAGAGAAGATAAAACGTTTAAAAACAATAATATGGCACCCTTAACTCATGATGTATTACAATGCCTTTATTGTCTTCAGAATATAAGTCAGCCTTCATGCTTATTTGAATGTTTAAGGTGAGACACCGCAGGCCTGCTTGTGTCTTGTCTTTATTCTCTGCTTTCCTCCTCAGTGTCTCTGGCCTTCCTTTTCCCGGTGTTTTTCTTTTTCAAATCCCTGTGCTCCTGGTTCAGTTCTTCACTTTTATTTTGTATGTAGATGGACTGAAATGAATAAAAGCAAAATGAACATTACTTGTGCAGTCTATATACCCCCACACAGCTCCAGTCAGTGCATTAACAGGAAAGGCATAATCTTATGTGGTTTACAACAGTGACTGGAACATGTACATTTGCTTGATTTTGACTTGAGGCATATACAAGTATATATACTTGTATATACCCCTTATTTTTATTTATCTTAACTAATCTATTCTGTTTACTGTGTATTTTGAGCTACTTGTCTGTGCTGCTGCAACGCCCGACTTTCCCCTCTGGGGATCAGTAAAGTATTATCCTATCCTATGGTGCTGTTAAATGTCATTCAGGCAACATAGTGGAAATAACTCACCAGTGCATTGCTGCGGCGGGCTAACAGCTTAACATCTTCTGTAGACACTGTGCTTCTTTTAGCATGCCTGAAGGACATTTTGAGATTGTCAACCAGAAATATAAGATTATAAAATATAAGGTAATTAAACGACAGGATGAGCTTAATTTATTTGTTAATCAAGCTACAAAAGTAGAGATTCTTACCTTGCAAAAGCCTCCAGGTCTTTAGCAAATATATCTGAAATCAGTCAGAACCAGCTGTGAAATGACATGTTTATACTAAAACGTGGAATTAAATGTATTTATTCATATCCTTTAGCATTTTCATTCAAACTCTACCAACAGCTTTGTTGTTTTAAGGCAAGTTTCCATTTGAAGGGCCTCCACTTTTAATGTTACTTCATCTTGGAAAGAGAACAATTCATGAAATGTGTTCTTATACGTAAATAAAGATCTTTCTGTGACAACACTGATTCGTTTAAATGTGTTTCTCTGGGGGGGAAGAGTTAACTATTAATTTCAGGATTTCCGATATATTTTCTTTAAAATCCTCCAACAGACCACTTGATGTGCTGCAAAATGGGATGTATTTGTGGTTGTATATAAAAAAACCTGTGCCTTATAAAACTCAGTATCTTTCGAGTGCAGTGTTTTTTTGATAAGGTATTATTTTTGAGATCATTTAATTTAATTTGGTTTATCGAATTAGGTGATAAGGCTAAATTGTTCAAACTCAAAAAACAGAGCACTTGAGGAAATAGTCATCATAAACCCCCAGAGCAATGTTTGAGCCCCCTGTATTCTTTTTGTTTGGACTTATTTGTTAAAGTAAGAGATAATGCTGAGTGAATTGGTTGACTAATTGTTTCACTGAGCTGCTTGCTATTGGAGAACCAAGCAAAGGTTTCCTTTGCGTGTGTAAAATGTCAATTTTGAGAAATGTGTTACAAGTCACTTAAAGACAACTATTTAAAGATACTACTTTGTTGCTCATTCTTAGTTTTTGGAATTTAGGATACTATTTAGTTTCACCAAAAGAACAAGTGCCTCCAATTAATTGGTAACTGACATTAAAAGGTAGATTCAAAGGTAGATAAAACATTAACATTATCATGTTAAGAAAATAACCAGTGTAAGAAATACACTTCTTCTTTTGTTCTTATTTTGTTTGGGACACAAAACCTACTAATATATTTATTGACATCTTTGTATACTTAGTTAGCTTTCACCCTAGTGGATTAAAATGTTTATTTTCCACCTCCTGTTGTCATTAATAGTTTTAAGCTCTCGCCTTTAGAGTATTGATGTCCGAGAGCATGAATGCATTTTGGGCTGTAAGTCCTCACTGAATAGATATGTGTGCATACTGTAGGTCTGGTTAAGAAAACGTTTGGGCTCACCTGAAAAACTATGCTGAGGTTTCTGTACTGCCCTGAAGACAAAATAACATATTGTGTTCACACTATATTATAAAATGCCCATCGTTTCACAAATGCTCATCTTCTCTCTCCAGATGCCATCATAAAACATTTAAAACCATCCCCGGGCTGTCTGTGACCACTTCTGCTCTCTGCACTGTTTGTTCTGTAACACTAGTTATTTGTATTTATTTATAAGACATATCAGAGTTATTACCATTTTATTCATGTTTGTTTAGAACTATTTTTTTATTTTAAAATAAAGAAATTATGTTAAATATAAATATAAACATAAAACTGTATGCCAGTTTTCTTTAAGTGGATGAATATAATATATTAGTGGTCAATTATTAGAAGCAGCTGCTACAATTATTTGAACAATAGGACTTTAGAAATCTCCACGTTGTTATATCTCTGTACTTTAGTAGATCAGCCCACCACATTGTCTGAAGGCTGTCTCTGCCATCGATGCGATGACTTGTCGGCTGAAGTCTCTTCGGTGGTCCTCTCCGGTCTTCTGACACAGACGACCCACAGTAAAATGCACTGCTGCCTTTAACCTCTGAATTCACACAGAAGTAAAAATACATTATGCATCGTTTGTCAAAATAAGAATATAAATTGACGTTAAAAGTTTCAATGTTCTCACCTGCTGCGACTCGTCTCTATCAGACATTTTCCACAGTGGACAAACTCTCAAACACGGCCTCGACTGTACAATAGCTTTCGATAACAACTCAGACAAACTTTATGCCACAGAGGAGAGTCGTCACATTTATTCGCAAACACATAACATTTACTGTTTGCTTTGAGCGAACAGCTGGTCGAGAAAGAAAAACTCGCGGCAAAAACATACAAGCAAACCAAAGACTACTAAGTTGTTATTCCTTTACATTTTTTGTAGCACCACCGTGTGGCGTGGAGGGGATACTGCAGTGTTTAAATCCATTCTGTGATTTGGGGCTTTATTCACAGGATAGGGTTTACCATTGCCTGATCAATGTTGTCCAGGTATTGGGACAACACGAGTGACAAATGTTATTTAAAAACATCTATTAGCCATGTATCTGTGTGTGTGAGGTCATTCACTATCCCCCAGTTTGTGAAATGTTGTCATGAGAATTAAGATATGTCCTGTCACCTGATTCTACTATTGCAAGTCATTGAGCATTGAGAGTAAAACTTCTGAAAATAAAATATTCACAAAAAAATGTTTAAATTTTTGTGATGTTTTGTTTCTTTTTTATTCCAACTTTGGTCACCGAGCCTTAACTTGGCTAATCTCTCCATCTATGAAATAAAAAGTGGTCAAGCATTGAATCACCCACATCACATTCAAATCAAACGCTCTTTATTTATGTATACAAGCAAACTACATTTTCTTGAGCTCTGGGATAAAGATCACAGAGACTTTTTATAAACTTGCTTGCAGACTTGATCCTCACAGGTAAGTTCCTAGAGAATGAAAACCTTTAATTTGTAAAAAACGGACTGTAATATAAAATAAGAACAATGAAAAAGTAAATGAATTGTATTTTTTTAAAGTTTAGGGCAACACTTATTCATGTCAGTTACATTTTTATGTAAAATACTGGAAACAAGGTTATCTTTCAGAGGCATACCAGATGAAGCTCATCTCCCTGGATCCAATGAGACCACCCTCGGTTCTTCTTCTCTCCTCTCTGAACACACACCAGCTTATCATTTTCCCAGTTCACTACAGTCTGATAGAGAATAAATATACATTCATATGCACTGGATTATACATACATTGAGATAGTGATAGCAGTAAAGACACAGAAAACCTTTCAAACACTTAACACATTTTAATTTTTACCTGGCATGACCTGTTGTCCATTCCTTTCGTCACTTCAATGAACTCTTCTCCAATTTTGAAAGACAAATCATAGTTTCTGAAAGTAGTGAATGTCTTTATTGTGAAACAGTCACCCTCTTGCTCAATTACCTTCCGCGGCTTCAACAGTGAGGCAATCTTGCGCGTTGCAAAATCAATGCCTGGATTTCAAAATGAAAAGAGTTTGTTAAAACGAGAACTTTTCTGTTGTTAAATTCATGCAACACATTGCTTCCTTGTCTTTTATTGTCTTATGGTCAGAAAATACAATCAACTTTTAATATCTATGGATAAGTAACTCACTACAGGTCAAATGCACACTGATGATAGTTTATGGTGCTGTGTTCTAAAAAAAAAAATATATTTTAATTTTAATTTTAGATGAATGATCACACGGCCACAATTCAAAACAAAGCACAAAAATGTCAAAGAGTATTTTCATAAAAAATGTCTTTAAAAGCAGCAGTGATACTTACCAAGTGAAATCATGTATCCCTCAAAATTGACATTGCCGACAATGTCCCATGTTCCACTGAAGTCAACAGGCATTTTAGATATAAGTGTGGCTCTCTAGGAAACTCAACAGCACAAGTGTCTTGAATAATCAGACACTAAAGTAATGAGTGAGATAGTACATTGTGTGGCAATATGGAGCAGGGGTGATTTGGTGATATTTGGACACGTACGAAAGAGAAGCACTGGAGGGCAGAACAGGACTATTTAACCATGAAAGGAGGAAACTTTCTTCTTCCCATTAAGTCTACATACAGGAGAATGTGCTACATGTGTTAGGCTGGTGGAGCCAGCTTTGACCCGAAATACAACGACCTAATCTTCAGGATTACTTTTATGTGCAAATGTTCAGGTAACACAATATGCAGCACAAGTCTGTGGGCATGTGCAGCCTGAAACACAATCCTTCCTCCTGGTCACATGTGAAGGTGCAGGCAGTTCCTTCAGATGAACACATCCAGCCATTAGGATTAGTGTTTCAGAATAAACGTCTGCCTGAACATCCATGTTCCTCTACATGCTAATCTACATGGCTTATCACAGCAGCAGATGGATACCAAGGAGTAAGAGGTTGAAATTGTAAGCTATTACAATTAATGTTTTGGTTTGAATTTGTTAGAAAAAAAAAAGGATCTGTGTTCATTCAGATGATTTTCATGTTTTATTTGCAGTCAAATTGTGAATGTGGTGTTCACTGCGCTGGTTCTTGTCCCTCAGTTCGTCATCTTGGGAAGGTAACGAGAACACAGGTGATGTCATCCAGCTCATCGGTCATTTGTAAAAGAGGGAATGATGCATTAATGATGATTTCTGTTTGTGCCTTAAAGTCCCAAATCATCCAGATACTGTAACCAGCCTCTTCTGAACAACCTGTCAGCCTCCATCGCCTTGTCCTTCATAGCTGCAGGTACATTTAGCATCATAGTTACATGCATAACAACAGGGTTTGTACAAATTCTTAAAAGTGTGGAAAATGCCATATTTATACAAAAAAATACAAGTAAGAAATCTTTATCAACTTTGTGACTCAAAAACATACTTTATTTACAACTTCATTTGGTAAGTTATCTTCTAAATCACTCATGTAAACCATTAAACTTCAATATCTGACATGAACAAAATATCAGATGTTTTTGTGTAGTCTGTTAACAATGGACTTGGATTGAGATTGACTTGGACGTTTTTCTGGACTACTCTTTATCTAGTGTGTTTAGGGAACCTAAACATGTAGGAAAAGTTTATTTTCTACCCTTTTATAACCAGTCTATTCCCTATAAACAGTCTTTTACATGTCTTCAACAAGACAATGTGAAATACGTGGATAATCAGACATTCCTTTATTCACTTTTTTGATAGGTTTCTCTGTCATATTCACATTGACTGACCCAGTCCCTCAGAGCTTGTGGGCTTCCTATCATGTGTTTGGGCTGCTGACATGTGGACATGGATTGAGCACGGCGGTCCTCACTCTGACAGCAGCATCGTGTGTAAGAAACCGACTGTTACCATTTAGGTCTATATTCAAATTTCAGACTCAAAGTGATTTGTTTATGTAAATTCACAGGCTAAAACCACCCCCGAGCTGTACTGCATGTCCCTTTTCCTAACAGTCGCTTCTATTTTCAGTACAGGTGAAGTATGTTTCTCATTATTATACATACATGCTGTAAGAGACAAGTCGTACAAAGAGTGTTCAGTTCAAAAGAAAAAAACACCTGCTTCTGTCTCTCCAGCTTTCTTCCTGCTGAGAGGAGCACTCTGGTTGGCTAAGAGGCCGTCTGTGATGGACCTGAGTGGAAACAATGAGCGGTAAAGCAGTCCAGCTGTCACATTGGTGACACCTGATACTCCACATATTAAAATTTCATGTGGTTTCCATACCAGCAGACACTTAAAACCATGGGAACATAAAAATAAAAAGGAAAGTGACTTAATCCACCTCACGTTTTGAAGCTCACTGCGGCAAAAATACCAAAAGCAGATGTGTGTCTCAATGGTTGAAGTGGTTTCCTTTTTATTTGTTGCTGGAAGGTTCACATTTGTTTCATGTGCCGTTAAATACACAGCAGGTTCAGTTTATAGTCATACAAATATAGATGTGGTCTCATTCTAAAAGTAAGGCTACCTTTAACAGATAATAGAAGGAAAATCAACAGGAATTAAATGAGATTGACTAAATCAGGATGTTTAGGTTGAAGTATCCAAAAGTAAACATGGTTTTCTAAAAAAAATGATTCATAACTTTCATATAAACTGCTTTGGTCAAGATGAATGTGGAAAAATAAAACTGGAGAATCCAGTCAGTGCACCTTGTTCCTGCATTTTGAAAAGTCAACAAGTATCCATTTAATTCTCTTATAGTTTATATTAATCTTCATATAATGTAGTACCACCACAAACCAAATCCAAATGTTCACATCTGATAAACCAAACTTGAAGAAAAGACATGATATATAGGTATGGAAAGAAAATCACAGCATTTTTAATGTAGCATAGACATAGCATAGCTTAGTGTCCTGTAGCAAACAGACAGTCTGAGTCACAAGTGTCCACATTACAGTGCATAATAAAGTATTCAGTGAATGAATAAACACAGCTACATTACCATGATGTTGGTTTTGGGTCTCCTGAAATGCACATCATGGTGGATCCAACAGGCACTATAACACGACTGATGAAGCTCAGTAGCACTTTCATTCTAAGGCAGTATGAATCGACTGGAAATGGAAGTTAGCTGCCCTTGTTTAAAAAGCACCTAAAGATCACAGGTGTCATATTTTGTGAGAGGAATGTGTGTGTGTCAGGAAGGTGCTTTTTATAAGTGATGCACCAAAATGATGTTCAAAACTGTCCATCTGATCATAACTTTATCAGTAAAAAATGGTTTTATTTGTTGTATTAACATGTAAAACAATTCTATATTAGCGAAGTAATCTGTTTGAGCCTGTTTTAGTAACAAAACATACAATCAAGTGATAAAAATTACAATATAAACGGCATTTCTGCCCTTTTACAAATTCACCTGAGATCATATGAACATTCTTGGTTTTACACAAATGAAAATGAGTTTGAAGCATTTACAGCATCAGTGTTTCATTAACTGCTCTATGCTGTGTTCTTTGTAAACTGTGGACATGTATACTCAATATGTTTATTTAAATTAATTGTGAATGTATTTGAGATTTTCACTCATCTCCCACATAATTGGCCTTTGACAATCCTTTAAACATTCTGAATATGCATCAGACACTCTCACTCTCAAGCAAAAAGAAAGATTTGATTGAGGTTCTAGGTTTCAATTCAAAGGAATATTAAAAGTTGTGTTATTGTCACACCGCAATGCAGCGGAAACTCTCTCGTGCTGGTCAACTCGTGTGTTGGAAATCCCCGGATTTTTGGAGCCTCACATGATGACTTTACAGCAGTCCCAACAGAGGCCTGTTTTTTTTAAAACAGCTATCCATTTCCATTTTCCCTGCCAAATAAAGCAATGACAGCCATGATGCATTTCTGCTGGGTCATGAGCTCAAGTCTGAATCTATAAGAACTGTGACAGGCTTAAACACAGGTCAGCATTGTAAACCTTTCTGATTTCTGATTAATAAACCCATACATGTACAACTGGTACTTGTAAGTGCTAGTACACCATTTTACACCACAAAGCTGTCCAATGAAAACAGCTATTAAAAATCCTACCCTAGAAGTGCATCATAGTCTAGATACCAAACCAATCTGCCATCTGAAGGCTTCACCCCAGTGACGGGCCATTTCTCAGGGTTGTCCTCCACTCGGCTCAGCTGGGTGATCAGCTCATGCTTCCCTTTGCCCATCACTAAAAGAGCCACCTCGTGGGCTCGGTTAATGGCGCTAAAAGTTAAGCTCATGCGCTGGTGAGGCTTCACGGGGCTCTCAGTCAGTGCCACCAAACTCTCCCCATGCTTGTCCGTTTTACTCCCAGGGAACAGAGAGGCTGTGTGGCCGTCATAGCCGACTCCGAGTAGCACAAAGTGGAAGCTGGAGCCGTTAACCAACTTCCTGATCTCTTTCTCATACAACAGGCGTCCTCCGTCCTCCTCCACACAGAGGCGCTCGTTCAGTTGCACCGGCATGGGATGGATGTTGTAGTAGGGTATCCTCACATGCTGCAGAAGGTGGTCATGCAGGTTTTGGAAGTTGGACTCAAATTCAGTCACTGGCACGCAGCGCTCATCCGCCATCCACACATGGGTGTCCCTCCAGGGAAAGGAGAAGTGGTGCAGGGCAAGCCGGTGAAACAAAGCGAGGGGAGTCGACCCGCCAGAGAGGGCGAGATGGAAGACACCACTCTCAAGCACCGCCTTTTCGGCTGCTCCCTGCAAGTCAGCAGCTAGTCTCTCCACCAGCTCCTCTGCCCATGCAGACACCAAGTCAGCGCCACGAAATTTACCCTGCATCACCTGGAAACCGTTTGCTGATGTGCCACCCATCTGATCGTTGTTGATGATCACCACCTCGCTGTTGTAGCTGATCTCTTTCCCGATCAAACGGACATTCAGCAGGTCTCCGTTGTCTGCTCCTCCGGGGTAGATGCGTGGAAATGAGCTGGCTATGCTGCTGAGAAGTGGTGTCCACATCCCCCACGAAGCCAGCAGGTTTTCAGTACTAATGAAACTATCTTTACGCCCGGCAAAAATGTAAGAGATCAGTTCTGAATAAGCTTCCCGCTGCTCTGTTGGAATTTGCACGTAGTAGTCTGAAATGGGCAAACCTAGAATGCTGACGTCCTTGTGCTCTGTCACTTCTTTCCACTCCGAGTCTTTTGAAACTGGCTTGAATAAATTCTTACTCACCAGGATTGCGGGATATTGAAGGCTGCCATGGCCAAAGTAGAAAACGATCTGTTTGGGCTTACAGTGAATGCTGTTGTGGTTCTGAAGACAAAAGATGTCATTCTTGAAAACGATGCGTGCATATCCCACCCGTTCATCCAACTTCTTCCCTGAGATCAAAAGAATTGGGACTCCTTCAAACTGGGCCTCATCGATGTGTGCCAATACAGCTGAAACATACAAACATCATCAGTTACCAGCAGAATAATGGGAGATTTGTACAACTCAACTATTAAGAATACATAAAGCCATAGTAACCAAAAAGAAAGCTCCTAAGGGTTTACCAGCAAATGTAGGTGTGATACTGATGTGATCTTTGGTCTTATTCAGCTCCTGCTGAACCTGAGTTGTGTACTCTTGATACTGGCCGATCACAGCCTGATTCTTTCCTACAGGCAGAATGGAGCTGAAGATGTGCAGCTTGTTTTGAAGGACTTCCTCACTGCTGCTGAGATTCACGGGGAGCCTCATGGTCAACAGGGTCATGACTTCAGTCAGGTGGTTCTGCATCACGTCTCTGATCACCCCATACTGGTCGTAGAAAGGGATACGACCTTTAGGACAAAACATCAAAGATCATGAATAGAAGACCCTCGGCCATATTTAAAACTTGTATGAAAGTGGGTCCGAAGTGTTCAGATCACTGTGGACAGAGTCAAGTGGGGCCACATGAAAGGACTGCCTTTTCACATCTGGGGTAACTATTAATTTGATTGACGATCTCTTCACATTCTTATCTGATTTAACATTTATTATTCAGAAATTCTGTTGTGTAAAAAAGCATCAGTGCGCACACAGCCCACATGAGTACACGCATGAGTGAAGCTTGCAAGCCATAACAAATGATGCATGACAGATTAGCAATAAATAATGCTAAAGATTCTGCGGTTAAAAATGAATAAACATTCAAGTTAATTTGTGAGACATATTAAAAGCATGATACATAGGTCATGAATAACATTATAAAAGGATAAAAAGTGGTGTGTGGTGTTATATGACGGTTTTATAGATTATAAAGTGTGTGTGTGTGTCTGTCAGTAAACTCTCTTTCTTTCTCTTTCATTCAAAGAATGTGAAGACGTAGTTTATGCATGGTGGTGGGGTGTGCACAAAAAATTAAGACTTTTTACATTTTAATTTGTATTAAATCAGTAAGTTTCAATGTATTTTATATTTCAATGCTGATCAATCCAGTTTATCATAATAATTATAACAGTATTGAAGAAATTCTTTATTACCTTTAACATCCAGGGTCTCTTTTAATACAATCTCCACTCTCTCGATGTGATGCTTGTTCCAGATAGGATCCAGAAACTTCTTGTTCTCTATCCTAAATGGAAGAATCTTTGCAACCACCTTTATACAGAAACAGAAACGCATGCTGTAAAAATCAAACATCTGATTAACAGAGTCACTACTGTGTTGGACTTTCCTACCTGCTTCCCCAGGTAATGGTCAATTCTGTACATTTCTTCATCCTTCAAGGAGCTCCCCAGCTGAGACGCGAGCACCTGAGCACTCCTGAAGTCATGTCCAAAAGGTTTCTCCAGCACTACCCTCAACCACGCACCACTCGTTGGTCTGCAACTGCTGTTTATTTTCTCTGCAATGTCTGCATACGCAAACGCTGGCACTGAGAGGTAGAAGAGCCTCCCTGCCTCCGAAAGTCCCTCTTGTTGAAGCTGCTGCTCAATGTGCTTGGACAGATCTTGGTATTCCTCTATGGTCTTTAGCTGTTGATACTCTGAGAGCCGTAGGAACTGCTCTTTCAGCAGAGCGCAGCGCTCCTGTGACACATCCTTCGGGCAGTTCACTGCCTTCAGGATCTCAAAGAAGACAGGCTTGGCCTTGTCAGCAGGCGTCAGTCCTCCACCATAGAAGGAGAATGTGTTTCCACTGCTAACGTGGTTGACGTAGAGATGGAAAAAGCCCTGCCACAGGTACTTCTTTGCCAGGTCGCCTGTCCCTCCCACTATCACCACGGAAACATGGCCCGGTGTCTGTCCATCCTCGCCATTTCCTCCCTGGGTACACAGAGTGACCAGGAGCAGGACCACACACCCCAACATGCTCTACTCCAAACCGTCCAAACTCCTGTATGAACACAGCAATGAGAGGCGTTACATACAGGCAATTTGTCAAGACACCGCTGAGCAAGAAAGACAGCATGTCAGAACTTTATATGAAACTGACAACAAGCACATAAATATTGCACTCTGAGTGTCAAATTTGGTGCTTCTTAATATTCTGGTAATCCAAAATGGATTAATCAAAAAAAAAAAAACAGCCACCACTGTAGTGATAGAAGTAAATTCAGCAGGAAAGCCCATCTTTACCCAAAACTAAGTGAAATGAAAAGAGACGTGGAAAGCAACTAGAAAGGGAGACCAAATTGAGAATAACCTACCGGTACAAACATTTAATAATGTCTATACATAGACCCTGCTTCTATTCTTTATAACACAAAAAAAATCTAAAAAAGATTCAACAATTTATATGGAATGAAATTAAAGAGAAGAGAAAAAATAATTGGAACAATTTGCATTTAAAGTAATCATTAATATTACCTTAAAATACACTTTAGCAAAGAGATCTAAAAAAAAAAACTGAAAAACATATAGCCATAAATTACTGAGCGATGTCTTCTCCTCCCGCTGTTTTAAAGTCCCCTCAGAGCTTGTGGTGGTCCGTTGCTGTTAATGTGATGAGTGAGATGATCACAGAGGCAGCAGTAGAGTTTTTGGACTTTGCTTAGGGGCAACAATCCTCTACAACAAATCAATTCTTCTTTAAATGCTGCGAGAATCAGATCAATTTATTGGTGATTTTGCAATGACAAGAGGCCATTCATTTAGAAAGAATGGCAATGCTGCAAAATATTCTTCAGTCATACTTTGGGAGGGGGTAACTGGTTTGGGAAGTTTAGATTAAATTAAAAAAGAAGACTAGTGGATATTAGTCGAATGAATCTGTGTCCAGCTCATGTTTGTAGAAAAAATGCAAACCAATGTGACACACAATATTAGAAAAGCTATGATGAGTCTTCTTCAGTCCAGTACATGAGCTTAGCTTGTCAGCTGATACCAAGTATCTTTTTGAAACACACATTGAAAAAGAAAGTTCACTATCTGTCAAAGAGGCTTAAAGATCATTGCTTTTTGCATAAGGTAACATTAAGTTTGACTTCAAATGTACATTCCTTACTTTGTATGTTAATGTTACAGATACAATCATGAATTGAAGTCAAATTTATTGAGGAATAAAAATAATAAAAAAGTTCTCTGGTAAAACTATTAAACTGTATCAAATCAAACGCATGACGACTTTATGTGCGGTATATGGGTGGAAATTTTCCAATTACTCTGGTGTGTTCTGCCACTGATTTAGACTCGAGCTGCAGAAATCTTGTGAACTAGCTCCTTTGTAACTCCAGATATAAAGTAACTGTCTCTAACTTGAAGTCATCAGACCCAACTGATGACTCAAGTGATACCACTGGAGGCAATTTATCAGATTTCACGGCATTGCAGCAGCACTCCTAAAACATTCAAGCCGCTCTTTAAACTCCCCTTTCAACCAAATATTAAACTCATGTCAGAAAAGGTCAAAACTGCAAAGGGAAAACGATGAACACATGATCAGAGCTTATGTTATAGAAGCCAAGGATGACTGAAAAGTTACCCTCATTGAAAAGAAAAACATTCAGTTAAGTCTAAATTGTTAAATTGTCAAACTCATTAGGACTTATTAAGTCACAAGTTTGACTGTTATAATCTTATTTTACACATTTGATAGACAGATTCTAATTAGGACATGAGAACTGGAATACAATCCGCACATTGCCAAATATCCTGAAGACTGATCAGAGAAAACCTTTTTCTTTTGGCCACGATGTGAAGAACAAATGGCAACCTAAACAGACATTTCATATTATCATTGTCTTGATTTAGTTATTAGATCCTCATTGCTGCCTTTGTAATATACAAAAACAAAGTGACTAAATGTCAGCAAGGATGTGTCATGAAGCTGCTTGACATCATGGCGCTATAGTGATAGATATTCCAAACCTGATTAATGACAGAGACCATTTCATCCCTCACTGAGGAGAAAATTGTACGAGAAACCCACGGTGTTATGAGTGCAACATCGGGATTCCCGCATGCCACAGTCATGTTTGCACAGCAGCAATGTAAACAGCAAAGGCCACTCTGCTTGGACAACCGCTCAATTTGGGTTCTGATAAGAAATATTCCAGTAAACGAAGATCACAGCTGTACAAAATAAATAGATAAACAAACACACTGTTTCCAACCTAATATATGTGTGTTTATTTTACTCGTAGCTCTTTGCTGCTGTTAGGGCCAGAGTATGTAATGCTACAGAGGCCATTCTGTTTTCAGTAGGATTTTCAGAATTTGCAGGAAGATAAGTTAGACAGATACTTTTCAACAGAATTTATGAACAATACATTATAGTCATTTTTGTTCGTTTCATTTAACTTCCACATTAAAAACAGAAAACCGGTTTAACATGAATAAATATGGATCTTTATGACGGTCTTGTCCATGTTTATTCATATATATCGTACAGTCCACAGCACAACAGATTCTTGTGTCGGTTGGAAGCAGACACTTATGGTAGTGGAAACTGAGTGACTGCTGTGTTCATGTTTGTTATCTTTTCTCTCTCTGTTTTTGCTGTACTCTGCTTATATTGTGCACACAGTGCTGCAGGAGCCGCATGCATCAACAGAGCTGTCAATCATGGCTTCTTATTCTTTTATAGCATCAAATTAATTATGAAAAAGAAACTTCTCCGAAAAAAGATGACTCATTTCAAACACAAAACGGTGTAATTATAACTCACTATCATGATGATATAGGGTTTGAGAAAAATGTATCTGACACACATTTTGGTAATAAGGCCTATATTTTACAGTTTAACCCATGTCCCACCTGTTAACATTGAGGAGGCGGGGTTTATGACCTATACTGCAGCCAGTCAGCAGGGGGAGCTCTAAATATTAAGGCTTCACTTCACTCCCAGGGGGCTGTTGCTTAGTCCATCTCAGGCACGTGCACACATATAGTCAAAAAAGGAGTTTGAGCACCTAATGTCTGGCCCTCTATAAAGAAAGTGCTCTTTTTAAAATAAAATAAAAATATATTTTTTGTGCACTGACGAACAGATATATTTGGTTCAATAACAACATCAGGTCAGGAGAAGTTTGAACCAAGCCAGCGCAATGCCTTCTCGATCCTCTGGAGCAGCTGTCAGTGTACACTTTATACACCCCCATGAAACTGTATCAAAATAGAAGTATTATATATAAAAAAAACACACAAAGTCTTCACTTCAAAACATATCGTAGTAAGCTAGATTTAATAAGAGATCAATAAATTGTAAGATGGAGAAAATCAAGCAGTTGATAAAAGCTGAACAGTGCATAACTAAATTACATTTAGGCCTCCTGTTTCTGAAAATGAATTATTAGTGCCTATTAGTGAATAGTAATAATAATAATGATAGTTTAATGATATCAGTTCAAATGTTCATTTAAGGTACGTATTTTGAGTTGTTAATTATTAATTTAATTGTAAATAAAGTGCCCAGAGTGTATATGATAACATCAACATAGAGCTTATATACAGTGGGTACGGAAAGTATTCAGACCCCTTTACATTTTTCACTCTTTGTTTCATTGCAGCCATTTGCTGAAATCAAAAAAGTTCATTTTATTTCTCATTAATGTACACTCAGCACCCCATCTTGACAGAAAAAAAACAGAAATGTAGAAATTTTTGCAAATTTATTAAAAAAGAAAAACTGAAATATCACATGGTCATAAGTATTCAGACCCTTTGCTGTGACACTCATATTTAACTCACATGCTGTCCATTTCTTCTGATCCTCCTTGAGATGGTTCTGCTCCTTCATTGGAGTCCAGCTGTGTTTAATTAAACTGATTGGACTTGATTAGGAAAGGCACACACCTGTCTATATAAGACCTTACAGCTCACAGTGCATGTCAGAGCAAATGAGAATCATGAGGTTGAAGGAACTGCCCAAGGAGCTCAGAGACAGAATTGTGGCAAGGCACAGATCTGGCCAAGGTTACGAAAGAATTTCTGCAGCACTCAAGGTTCCTAAGAGCACAGTGGCCTCCATAATCCTTAAATGGAAGAAGTTTGGGACGAACAGAACTCTTCCTAGACCTGGCCGTCCAGCCAAACTGAGCAATCGTGGGAGAAGAGCCTTGGTGAGAGAGGTAAAGAAGAACCCAAAGATCACTGTGGCTGAGCTCCAGAGATGCAGTAGGGAGATGGGAGAAAGTTCCATAAAGTCAACTATCACTGCAGCCCTCCACCAGTCGGGGCTTTATGGCAGAGTGGCCCGACGGAAGCCTCTCCTCAGTGCAAGACATATGAAAGCCCGCATAGAGTTTGCCAAAAAACACATGAAGGACTCCCAGACTATGAGAAAGAAGATTCTCTGGTCTGATGAGACCAAGATTGAACTTTTTGGCTTTAATTCTAAGCGGTATGTGTGGAGAAAACCAGGCACTGCTCATCACCTGCCCAATACAATCCCAACAGTGAAACATGGTGGTGGCAGCATCATGCTATGTGGGTGTTTTTCATCTGCAGGGACAGGATGACTGGTTGCAATTGAAGGAAAGATGAATGCGGCCAAGTACAGAGATATCCTGGAAGAAAACCTCTTCCAGAGTGCTCAGGACCTCAGACTGGGCCGACGGTTCACCTTCCAACAAGACAATGACCCTAAGCACACAGCTAAAATAACAAAGGAGTGGCTTCGGAACAACTCTGTGACCATTCTTGACTGGCCCAGCCAGAGCCCTGACCTAAACCCAATTGAGCATCTCTGGAGAGACCTGAAAATAGCTGTCCACCAACGTTCATCATCCAACCTGACAGAACTGGAGAGGATCTGCAAGGAAGAATGGCAGAGGATCCCCAAATCCAGGTGTGAAAAACTTGTTGCATCATTCCCAAGAAGACTCATGGCTGTACTAGCTCAAAAGGGTGCTTCTACTCAATACTGAGCAAAGGGTCTGAATACTTATGACCATGTGATATTTCAGTTTTTCTTTTTTAATAAATTTGCAAAAGTTTCTACATTTCAGTTTTTTTTCTGTCAAGATGGGGTGCTGAGTGTACATTAATGAGAAATAAAATGAACTTTTTTGATTTTAGCAAATGGCTGCAATGACACAGAGTGAAAAATGTAAAGGGGTCTGAATACTTTCCGTACCCACTGTATATAACAGACCCCCTGAGGTCTGGTCTCAGCATTTAAAACCCCATGATTAGCACATTGAAGACATCTAGATCTAAATCATCATATAATCAGCTCGTTGTTGGATTTCTGTATTCCACATTATGACATGTCATATATGAACAATGATACAACTCTGCACTGCCCTTTTCAATGAGTTTGTTTTGAATAAATATATTTTAATGTCTTTACAAGTGTTAAAAACTAATAATTCCAGGCGAAGGCTATATTTATTTAATCGTTTTGGTGGAATTGCCCTTTTGTGAGCCCCTTTAAAATCCTGGTCCATTCTGATATACAATCTATATGTTACCATGTTCAGTTTAAAGCTCATTAGATTATACAGCCTTTTCCCTACAGTGTGTGTAAGTCACTGCTCCAATTCATTTGGGAAACGCGACACCACTCAGTCAGGAAAGGCTCCCTGAACGCATCCTGTAGCCCACGTGTTGCGCTCATATCTGATACACATACGAATGTGTGTTTCCTGCCTCTTAGGTCGACTCAATACTCGCCCAAGAGGAAACAAAACTCAACAAAACCAGACATGCGGACAATTTTCGGCCAACAGGCTATTTAAACGACTGAAATCAATAAACCTCAAAGAATAAAAGAGGGCAAAATTAACCAGCAAATCGCTTTTGACGCGCAGTGAACAAAAATGTTCTGATTATCTATATTCATAAATGTATATCATAGTTACTGGACTCAATAAGCTGTCAGTATGCACATTGAGTCACTACCCCCTCTTAATTTATAATCATTTCAAAGTAGTCCTTTACTTTAGTTGTAAAACACTAAATAAGACACACTGACAGACGGACAAATGGTTGACTTTATCGATAGATTACACCTGCTAGCCGCCTGTCTAACTTCACTTCCGCTAACATTAAAAGCACACAATGCGCCAAAAAACAATCCCAGGAAATAAAATAAACACTGTCAAAAGACAAAGCATTAAATTAATAGAGCCAACCCCAATCACAGACATGTCAAAGACAGCGGAAAGACTCTTAAAAAGTCATTTGGTTACGAACCTGCCCAGTGGTGGCAAGAAACCTGCAGGAAACAGCTTCCTGCCCTGGTCACGTGACGCCTTCCTGCTGCGGAGAGATCAGCCTGTAGGTGGAGGAGAGTTAGCTCCTACTATTCCTGTGGTATTATGAGATTTAACTTTCACTCACCTTCAATGGTGCAATGAAACTGAATAGCCTACATTCACGCAGGTACTGCACCTACGTCCAACGGAGGCATTTGTACTTTATTTTTTCTTTATGGCTACTTATGTCAGCAGTAACTTTCAGATTTAATGTTTTCATAGCCTTCCTTTATAATGAAATACAAATTACTTACAAATTTGGATTTTTGAATGTAAGTTTGAAACGAAAATTGATGGTACCTTGTAAGTATCGGACAAATTGTCAAATTGTCCAACTTTTTCCACTGTAGAAAGAGATCAGAAGGAAAAAAAACTTGAATTTGATGAAAAATCCGCTGTTTCTCTTTTACCTTTGAAAAATAAAATTGCAGCATGAAAAGGTACATCATTACTGCAGCAAAAAAAGGCATATATCATGAAACAATTGCTATTTGCTTAAGAGTGACGTTTGATGTTTTAAGTAAATTTTGCTGACACTTGTGATTTTTTTTTTTATGTTATGGTTTTGAATTAAAGATTTTGACTTGTATCTGAGTTTTAAGCAAAGGGCCACCCATGTTTGTTTAAAAAACAGATACAGAAAGTCTGCTTAGAAGCCTTAGATTTAGTTTGTTATATTTAGTTTATATTTGAGATATTTCAGACTGAATTAGCAGATATGCCCATGAATTCTCATTCTCTCTCAAGCCTCGTTCAATCAAAAGCTCCCTTTCTGCTTTTGGGGAATAATACTTCTTTAGCCCCAGCAAAATCCCAACATCCTTTATAAAACTCTTTGTAATTATAGAAGCCATAGGCTATACATCTTAAACTAGAACATGTTTCAAACTCTACCATCATTAGTAACGTCCTATAAGTAAAACACTTACAAAACAGATAACCTTAAGCATATTTTATGTTATGTAATAAGGTGAATGATGTTGAGGAAAAGTTCCCCATTTTGTGCAAAGTCATGCATTAGTGTGTATCCTGGCTGTTCCCTGTCACCAGGGCAGCTGTAGACTGCAGTGACATGCAAGAAGGACCTCTGCTGGTGTCTATGTGGTATAACTGCTCTCTATTTGCATCATCATCATCAATCAGCCATCAGGTCTTACTCCATCTGATATTGAAAAATAACAGTCAATATTATTACTTTATTTTTCAGATGTGATCAGTAAAATCACAAACGCTCTTCGTAGGACTTCTGGCCTCCATCCTACCTCCTACCTGAACACAGAGAGTACACAAAGGACACAATTTGGTGTTTAGGATCCTTATTAATTATTTGCCTCATACATGCAGGTACTTATAGGCAGGTAAGAACAACAGTTGCCCTTTAACAGTCACGAGTCAGAATAATACAATCTGCTGACTTTAAGAGGATAAACATCAGCTCCTGTTTACTCAGCATTGTTCAGCTGTCTCATGCCATCGCTCTGAGTCCAGGCCTACCTCAAACAAAGCAGGTGCCCTTTTGGTCAAATAATGAACTGATTGTTGTTGACCACACTGCTAGTTGGTTTCTCTGGTCCTCCTTTTTACTCTCCTCAACAGTTGTGGTGCTCCTTTCAGCACGGACCTTGACTCAGCACCTCCATGCTTCCATTTGACACAGAGAGCATTTGTTAGCAGCAACTAAACAAAAAACACTACAAAAATGTGTTTTTGTTTTCTATCTAAGTTTGAGGGTTTGTATTCTTTGGATGTTCACATGGCTGAGAGAATTTGTAGTTTTAACTTATTTTAACTTTTCAACCAATATGATGTATCCTACTACTACGACTACTACTACGACTACTACGACTACTACAGTGGGCAGGAATAGATGGAAATATAAAAAAATGTGACAACTGAACCGCAGCATTTGTCAAAAAACACCATGAGATACAAGGCATCCATCAGCGCTGCTGAATGGACCAGTGGATGAATTTGTTAAATTGTGTTTAATTTCAATCCCATATTCAAACATTTAAACATGGCCTTTACACACACACACACACACACGCGCACACACACACACACACACACACACCGTCCACTTCACTACCTTACAAACAGCTGTAATGCCTGTGATCACATTGTGGAGCCCTCCCAAGTTGGCCGGCCACTGTGAAATGTAAACAGTAAACAGGATGGAGCATCCTGTGTGTGTGCGTGTGTTAAAGCATGTGTGTTACAGACTATGTGTGTGTGTGTGTGTGTGTGTGTGTGTGTGTGTCTGTGGAGGGAATGGGAGGGGTTGGCTGCTAAAGAGAGAAAGAGCCCATGCAGAGTGTGCTAGCCCAGCTGTCACTGCTATAACTGCAGACTTGAGAGACCACATACGCAAGCTGGAAGGCAACTGTGTGTGTGTGTGTTAAAGTGTGAGCTGTGTGTTTTGTTGCCCCCATGCCCCGCCCCCCTCCCCTCCACAGACATTCTCCACAGCCCCTGGCTTCCTTCCTCCCCTTTGTTAAGCCTGCGAGGCAGACTTCGTCAAGCTGAGCACACAATCAAATGCATATGAATGTGTGCTGTCATCTTTATTAGGCCCCCTCTGCCTCCAGCCATTACTTTAACACAGCTCTTTACTGAAAGGGATTTCACTTTCAGACCCCACTCCTACTCGCCAGACGAAGAGGATTAAAGTGACCTCAGTGTGGGATAAATTTGAATACGCAACCTGCTAATGAGAACGTTATACTAAGCACAGAACGAATGCTATTACTCAAATAACTAATTTTGTGTTGTAGGCCTGTCATGGTTTGTTAACTCAGTGACATTTTCATGCATATAACAATAAACAGTTGTATTAATCTCTGTTCTCTTTAACATTTAAATATCATCAAATCCATCAACCTCATGCGAAAAAAGTAACTTGTTTCGTGACAGATATTATCCAATATATTTAAGCATCATTTGTGCCTCATGTAAGTATCATTACTTTTGTTATTGAAGCAGTTTCATTAATATATTTTAATGTGTTTGAACATCGTATTATCTTATATTTGAAGTGTTGGCTAAATTTGTTGAACTTGTTTCTTCAGTCGCATGTTTGTTTATGTATGTGTATGCACATGGAGAGCAAAGTAAAACTGAAATCAAACTCCTTGTTTGTATTTATCAGGCCAATAAGGCTGATTCTGATGTAGTTTTGTATTTGTGGTTTAAACATTCCAGGCAGGCATCTTTCTTTGGCTTCCTCCTTACACATCTGTCCACCTGCATTTTTTTTTTACCACACTCCTTGTTGCATGAGGTCAATGCCAAAGCAGGCAACAGTGACAGATCAAAGCAAAGCCACTGATAAACCCAGACTGTGTGAGTAATGCTGCACGCTTGAAACCAAAATCCCACATTTCTTCTCCTTCTCTGAAGAAAACTTGTCTGAGCGTGTTCTTTTCTTTTGTTTCTCAATGCCACACTGCACACAACACGGCCCTCATACAGATATCAGACACACACACACACACACACACACACACACACACACACACACACACCAACCCCAAATTCCAGCTAGGAGAGGTAGTGTTTTCAGAGTAGGCATGTGGAGCTTTTAAAAACGAGATGACTGAGGGGAACAGGGGGAGAAAAAACAAAAAGCTTTTCAGTCCAAACAATAGATCCACAGATTCGAGAAGCTTCCACAACAGCAGGAACATAGAAGGACAGTGGTTTGGGATTGGTTTTTAATTAAGTGTTACTATAAGAGAACATTGTTGTTGCTAGATATTTTACAACGTGTGGTCTTGTGGTTTTTATTTAGTTTTTTTGAGGGACTTGGTATGCTGAGATTTGTGATTTCCCGATCCTACTTTTGGTGCGGTATATTTGTACAGAGCTTATCAGTGCATGGTATCACATTCTGTCACTACATTACACGTTGAATCAAACAATGTCATGATTGTTGAGCTGACATATCTTGTATTTGTCGTCACATCTGAATGTTTATATTTTGAAGAACAGCCTTTGTCTGGGCTTGAATTTAGTGTTATCAGATAAGTTTAAAGGATTACATACTCTTCTACACATCCTGACACACTCCTTTGAGGGTGGAACATTTCTACCTCACAGGCTCATAAAGGCCCCTTTAAGCACATGGGATTATCTAAAAGATTGGATGTGTCTCCCAGAGTCTCGCTCTGAACCTCTGATTCAGGACTCACATCTCAGATTTTGTTTGATTTAAATCCAGTCTGATTATCAGGATAAACTCACCTAGACTGCTTTTCACAACTGTTTAAACATTGACAGGATTAAAGACTTACTGTATTACCAGGTAGCAATGTGTCATTATTGTTTCACTGCAAGTATCTAAACTGTGTGTTTTACAACAAATGTTTATGAAGTTGCTAATTCTTAACTTTTTTTTTAAAGCAAAAATTAAAGTAAAAAAAGACAAACATCAAGAAGGAAAATCAAAAAATACTCTTAACTTTGTGCATTCAAGTGTTTGTACTTCACTACATTTTTGAGGACCTTGTACTCACCTTGAGTATTTATAGCAATGATTTTTTTTGGTGTCTGCTTATTTTGCTTCTCTTATGAATGTAGTGATGAATGCTTGCCTTATTTGTAAATTTGAATGAACTACAATAAAATGTTGGGGTAAAATCTTTATAAAAAGTATTTATATTTTATGACACTTAATTCTAAACTACATTCAAGAAAAGTATTTAACTTTTGTAGCACCATTCATTAAAAAGCAACAGCTACATGGCACTGGTAGCCTAGTGGTTTGTATGGGGTCCTTCCAAGCAGGTTCAAATCCGACCTGTGGTTCCTTTCCCGCATGTCTTTTCCCACTCTCTCTTGTCCTGATATCCGACTCTATCCACAATAGTCTACAAAATTAATCTAAAAAAAAAAACAACAACCACTGCCTGTAGACTATGATACGTTTCAAATAACCAGTTTAGCTTAGCGTCGTTTAGTTTTTTCTACTCATTTCAAGTAAATTTTAGTCTATTCTGTAGCTTAGATCGTAGATATGTTTAGCTATGTA